CAAATCCAGGCTGTGATAAAATCTAAAAAGATCAACTTTGGTCTTAAACTCAGTCTGATATGTCAGAGAAAAAGAAAGCGCTTTTGACAACACATTAATACTGTTCAGTTTTTGATAAGTTGATTACTATGTTTTCATGTTGTGATTCCTGAGTCTCCGCCGCTGTTGCTGTCCAGTCTGATGCCAGGGTACTTGTTCATCACCTCTCTCTCCTTGTCTTTTTCTTTTTATGATGGATCTTGTGGGTTTTGGCCACTCATCCAAAAAATCTGAAGTAGATTAAGTTGACTTAGAGGGTGCAGTGGAGTTAGAAGTGGAGCCCTCTTCAGCACTGGAAAGTTGAGTGGGCGCTAAATTGTATTGTGCCATGTTGCATGAAGAAAATTACGGCCACTTGTAAACGTCATTCTCTATGTAATCGATCTCATCTCGTTTGAATTTCTTGATTTTCTGTTGTTTCACCCAGACAGTAGGTTTCTCAATATGCTGTTTGTTTGTTCTGAAATGGTAGTTTCTTCTGGTCATCACCTACTTGGGAAATCTGACTTGATCTCATTAAATTTGCCTTGCAAGGCTCCCTGGTCCTTCTTGTTGTGCTCAGTGATCAGTAAGATTAAACCCAAAGAGCACTGATTGAGAATGATTTCTCATTTTGTCCCGTGTAAAGCTCCTTGATTTTAGACAGGCAGAAAAAAGCAGGCCTCTCATTTCTAACCAACAGCTATTGTTTATTCTAGCTTAAATGACAGCTGACATTGGGAGATTTGATTAACTAACTAGCTAGTTTAATAATGAAATTAATATTAAATCCAGTTGGTTTAAAACTGTTTCCTGTTGATGCTGCACCATTTCCATATGATCTAGTCTAAAATAAGAGGTAAAATAAATTATGTAAATAATAATAAATCAAAATATAATTATCGATTTCCTTGACCAGCTGCATTCTTTTTAACATGAAGCAGCTCAGGAAGTTTTCTGTTTTCATTGATAAATAGCAAGAGAATGAATATGTTACATGGTAGCAAACAAATGTGGATAATAACGGTTGACGTAGTGATGGAAGTAGCATTCGAAGAAGTAGAAATGAATTTGTGGACCAAATGGCACTCCTCCTGTTATCCCATCCAAGTACACCTGGACTTTTGTTGTGGAAGTGAGCATAGACTGCCACATTGCCTGCCTTTCGAAGGTTATAAAATGTTTCAGTATACCACCTCCAACCCAACTGCGAGAAAGCAAGAAAGCAGCTTTCCAATGTTATCTGACATTCTGCACAGCACACGAAAGCATGCAACAGCCTTGAGAGGCACAGAAGCGTGTTCTGTCATTCACCAGTGCCTACTCAATTTTAATGTCAGCTGCTGTCAATCTCAAATTTACAGAGGAGGACATGCACAAGCTGTTCTAAATTTCACCATATAAGCACACACAGACATATCCTTGTATTTCTATTTGTTGTCTTTGATTGACTACATTCATCTCCTAAGTAAAAGTGTACCATTTAAATTTAAATCCAAGAACTAATTATAAAATAACCCTGTGAAGGAGTTAGGACCACAAAGTGTAGTTATTCCAATCGTCCTAAAATCTAACTAAACAAATGCGAATTAAAGTACAACTGGATGAGCTGCTGAAAACAAACCCATGTCAACACACTAGTGGGTTTCCTGTAACATCTTGGTCTCACCGTGTCATCAGGAGTGGCAGAGTGGTTTCACTACTAAGGCTGTGTGTGTGAGAAGACCGGAAATAGTTTATCATACCAGGTGACAAAGCACAGTGGATTAGCCTTTGTACAGTATGTGTGCGTGTGTGTAGACTGTGTTATAACAGTGGCCAGAGTCATGGTTATGGATTCCATTAGTGTAGGATTAATGACGGACTGAGGTGTAACCACTCTTAGGGTCAGTTGCTGTAGCACCTTAAAGGGTACCGTCTGTGGCATCAAGTTAGTGTTTTAACTTCATCAACAAAACCCTCAATTATGCTGTTTCACCGGAGGACAGACGATGACGGAGAACTCAAATTTACAAACACGGTAGAGGCTCATTGTTTCTTCATCCTTCTGAATAAGCTTTGCATCCACATTTAGGTTTGCAGTTTGTACTTTATAGCTACAGGACTTTAGCAACATGGCTCTGCATTGCAATGTCGGTCAGTCTGTTGATTCTCCACCATTTTGGGCCAAATATTATATGGATTGTCATGAAATTTTGTAGAAACGTTTGTCGTGCACAGAGCGTGACTCCTAGTGATTCCCCTCTCTTTTCCACTAGCGCCACCATGAGGCATATGTTTGTGGTTTTGGCTGAAGCATGTTCCCCACACAGTGAATCAGTCCTTTGACATTTCTTCTCCAAAATATCAATTTGGCCAATATAGTTTCTGATCAAATAGCTGCAAAATAGTGACATTTCTTTCAGCTTCAACTGTCCTTTTTTGTGCGTTAATTAGCAAATGTTAGCATGCTCAACTAAGAAGGTCAGCATGGTTAACATAAAATGTCTGTGAGCATGTTGATGTTAGCGTTTAGCACCACTATGTCTACAGTAAGTGGAGGCTCACAGAGCCACTAGTATGGTTGTAGACTCTCAGCCTTGTTCAGTTGTTGTCAAAGATTACAGTTAACACTCTTGCCATGTATAGTACAAGTATCTGGTTAACGTCTGCATGGAACTGAGACTGTTTTCCCTTGTGTAACTCTAGATCCCAGTCTCCAGGTTATCTTTTTTATTTATATACAGTATGTGCAGCCGGTTAAATTTAGCTATGCCTTTCCTTGTTATCTCTCTGCCCCACATGTTTAATATGTTGCTGTTTAAATGTTAAGTAGTTTTTTACAGGTTGGCTGTGCAAACAAAAGTGTGTGATAGGAAGAAACAGAGGAGAACAAAAATCATTCTTCCATTCATTTGTGTGCCACTCCAGTGATTGCTGCCCATTTTCATCATCATGTTTATCAAATGGAGCTAGAAGCTCTTGGCCGCCTGGCTGGGTATTTTCCTGTGCTTTAGAACACAGTCTGAGTTTTCTCCATCCAACTATTGAGAGTAGATAATTGAACACTGATATGTTATCACTTAAATATCTTTGCTTACATTGTAGAAGCCCTACTCAGTGGTAGCCTTGGTTGAACCTTGAGTGCAGGACGTCTGTTATTTTACCATCTGCCTTGATTTGACTAAGCTGTGTTGGTAGGTTGAAGTGCTGAGCTCTCACTCACTCTTTTTATCCCTCATGTCTCTCAGTACTAGACTGTAGTAGTCGACTAGACACTGTGGATGACTTGTTCACAAGGATGTGAAAAAGAAGCTTTCTGCAGTTGTTGTCACTTCCTGTAGTTTTCAGTGGTGCTGTTGTTTTTAAGGCCCTTACTTGGTTTTGATAACATTAATTTTATTGTGTTTTTCTTCATCACTTTTACTATTAATTTGATTTACCACATCATGTTCACATGTACTGTACTACATAATGTGTGATGCTATGCCTTGTGAATGCTGTCAGCAGTATTAGACTAATTACTGCATGTACTGTGATCATATTAAACCTGTTTAACTCTTATAATTGCATTTCGATTGTATAAAGGCTCATGCTCACGCTCACATAAGCATGTATACACTCCCATACACACAGAGAGCAGGGTGGGTGTATAGAGCACAGTCTCACTGAGGCTTGGAGTAGGCATTTCGTGTGTGTGTGTCATCGAACAGGCAGTTAAAAACAGACCCAGAACTCTTCCACTGCATCTCTTATCACTTTCTGCCTCACTTTCACTAATTCCCTGACTTACTCTAACTTTCCACTCTTCTGTTCGTTATTTCTTTAGTCTATCATCAGAAGAGAGAATTTTGTAAATTCAAACCTATGGAAGCACAAGGTGGCCAGTATTAAATAACTAGATAAGATGATAAGAGATAACTAATCATGCAAATAAATGCAGACAATATTTGTAAAATAACCATGACACTGTTATATAGCAACCCAAAATACTACTGAAAGTGGACTGAGATATCAGATTGTTCCATTTATTTCAATAGTAACAATTTTTTATATTTTTGCACGTTAAGTTTAAAATGTTCTGTTTTGAACAGTTTGGTTTTATTTACCATTATTCCCTGTGGTTATTCTTCATCAACCAATCACATAACTTTGCCCCATTTGTCTTGATTAATTAAACATACACTTTAATGCCAATTCCATAAGGTGTTTTGTGCCTTTACCCAGGTCATCCTGTAACTTCTTAGCTCCAGTGTATTCATTATTCAACATGACAGCCAGCAAACAGTCACTTATATGAGCACTAAGACTTTTATTGACGGAAGGTTGTACACTGTTTCTTTATTCTGGCTCAACTGCATGTAGATGATGACTCATTGTTACTACATTGCGTTAACCTTGTATTTCTCACTTAGCATGAACATTTTAATTTATTGCAAACATTAAATAGGGATTATAAATCTTAATTCTGTTCATACAAATTGGCACTACATACTGCAGTTCCAGGAAGAGGCTTAAAGAATTGTCTCAGGAGGTTACGAATCTGAATAATGTTTGTTGAGCGGCTCAGCTTACATGACTGCACCACCTTTCCTTTTCTCTAAGCAAAGTTTAATGTGTGTGTAGAGATTTTATAGATTAATTAAACGCATGTCAGGCATATGGCACTGTGTGTATTCAGAGTACATAAAGCTCTTTTCCATGGAAAGTTCCATTAGTTTATGAAAAGTGACTGATTTTAGTTTTGATAAATGTCAGGTCTGAAAAAGGTGTTGTTATATTTTTGGTTCATACCTCGATAAAGCCACTCGATGACACAGCTGATGTTTGGCAAATGTTGTTGTTGTTTTTCATCTCTGTCCTTCAGTTGGGACCCAAGAAAATCAATCTGTCACTGTGTTGCTGTGAAAATTGTCTGTTGATGTCTAGCTCATCCTAACACAACACAATCTCTCTCTTCTCTCTCCCAGCTGTGAGCAGAGTGATCACCAGAACCGACAGACATGGGGAAGCAGAACAGCAAGCTCCGTCCTGAGGTGATGCAGGACCTGCTCGAGAGCACCGACTTTACCGAGCATGAGATCCAGGAGTGGTACAAGGGCTTCCTGAGGGACTGCCCCAGTGGGAACCTTTCCATGGAGGAGTTCAAAAAGATCTATGGCAACTTCTTCCCTTATGGAGACGCTTCAAAGTTCGCTGAGCATGTCTTTCGCACATTTGACGCTAATGGTGATGGGACAATAGACTTCCGGGAGTTTATCATCGCACTAAGTGTGACATCACGTGGCAAGCTGGAGCAGAAGCTGAAATGGGCATTCAGTATGTATGACCTGGATGGGAACGGGTACATCAGTAAAGCTGAGATGCTGGAGATTGTTCAGGTGAGTGCATGCAAACATGTGGACACATCATTCCCAGTGTGTCTTTGTATTCAAATACCACATGTTGTACAGAGTATGGATAACAAGTGTCTGATCAGGTGAACCCAAGACATTTACAGTATACGCTTCCTGTAACATTAGCCACAGTAGTGATGATTAAACACTGCTGTGTTAACAGTCCTGCCGGTGTATCCATAGCTCACACTTAATGTGACAGCAGTGCTGGTATTTTAAGAAGAGGAGGATATACAGCTCTGCTGCATGGAGCGAGGAAGCTCTTGCACACATGGAGCTAGATGCACCTCCATCTAACACATGGCATCAGAGAGATATGGCATTCAGGACCTTGTTCGCTCCATCATTGACATGTCAGCATACTTAAAAGATGCATTTATATATTGAGATGAATTGGAAATGTCCTGCCAATGAAAGCAGTTTTTGAAAGAGTCAGATTCATTCGCATTGCTCCTTTTTAAAATGTGGCTGTATCTAGAGCCATTTCTAGTAATGAAACTGATTTTTCATCTACTCTGAACCTTTTGCAGGAGCAAATAGAGCTAAGGCTTAGCCTAATGCACATCCACTAAACCACCTATTGTGAAGTACATATGCTCAAAGTGACTTGTTGTCTATATTAAGACTATTAAGTCTTATACTGTTGTGTTTATGTGTGTATGTTTTATCTAGTACCAGCATTAGCATATTTTGTAACGCCCACTTTCTTTTGTAGCTGCCAAAAACAGAACCTTTATATTAAACCACGGACTGTGTTAAATGTCCTTCATGTTAACCTGCTTTATTCATTAAGATAATGGATGTAAATGTCAACTAAAATGCACAGCAGGCTTGGCAGGCTTTCAAAGATTCATAGCAACATATTAGTGCTACAGCTGGAAAAAAGAAAACTGGAAAACTAACTCGATTTGAGAAACCCTGGTCATTTTGTCATTAGTGGAAACATTTATTTCTAGATTTTGGAGCATTCAATAGTCACACTTCAGGTGTATAAGAATTGTTGAAGTCCCAGGCATTTGTTCTCTTTGGAAAAGAAAAATGGAAAAGGGGAGTGCAGGTGGCATTTTCTGTACAAGAGATCCTTATGTAAACACATTACAGGCACACAAAATTGCAGTATACTGTTTGTCTAAGTGTGTGTGCTTTTTTTTTGTCTTTTTTTCCGCCACATTTGAGTAACAGCAGCTTGTTTCTCCCACTTTAGTGTTGCCTAATTTCACCTCTCATTACCGAGACTTCTCATCTTGTCTTTAAACTTTGACTCCTTTTAGAAACAGGAAGAATTGGTGTCAGGATAAGAAGATGTATGGGTGAAGAAAGGAACTGAACGTTCTGTCCTGTAGTTAGGGGAAGATGTGACAGAAGAGCAGAAGCAGGGGTGAAGAAGAGATATTAAAATATGGAGCATTATTCAGAGAGAAGAAGAAAAGTGTACAGTTTGTACAGGTGTGTCTGCATGCCTGTGTTGTAGCGGTTTTCTGGTTTATTTAGCCGGGGAGCCAGTCAGAATGCAATCGGACAAAGTTTGGTGTGATTATGTTAACCAGTAAAACCCTACAAAGGACCTTGCTGTGAAACAAGCTCCTATAATGTCCAGAATCTTCCCAGTGTGCAACAAATACAAAAATAATCTGAATCTGAATTAGATTCAGAATCATGTTTAATGGCCAAGTATGTTTGCAAATACAGAAATTTGAAACAGTGCAGAGGCCCTCAGTGTGTTTGTAAGCCAACAGGAATAGAAAGTAACAATGAAAATAAAAATAAAAACTAAAACATTAAAAATAAACAATGTGGGCATTCAAATAGGAAGTATGTGCAATCAAGCTGGCCAGAGCAGTAGTCAAAGCATGAAGAAAAATCAATGTGTGATTGTCTGTTGATTATGTGGTGTGTAGCTAAAACATTCTAACACGACCTCTAGTGACATGTCATGACATTAAACATAAGAAAATATTATGGCTATAACTACAGTTATACACGTCATAATAATAATATTAAACATCCTGTCTTCTAACAGTCATCAACTTTCTATCTAGTTATCCTTGACCATAAGCAACCTGCAG